CGGATAGAAGTGACAAGAAGACGAGGAAGAAGACGTAAGAAGATGCTGGATGACCTTGGGGACAGAAGAGGATACTGTCATTTGAAGGAGAAAGCTCTAGATCGCATTAAGTGGAGGAATTGTTTTGAAAGAGACTGTGGACCTGTCGTCTTGACAGATTACTGATGATGATGATGATGATGATTCAGAGTAAACTTCTGGTTAACAGAGTTTTCTGGACCATCCAGTGCTGGGTATTGCAGCTTTTACTGTAACATGAAAATGTAAATTTATGAATGTTCCTTTTAAGCAAAATTACATTTTGTTGTTCTTTTGTGATGGAAGTACGCCTTTATTCTGATGCTTGTCTTAGGCACATACATATCTGCTTTACATTTCACAATTTAACTGCTCACTGGTGACAGGTGGGGCACTATGCTACAAGCTAGAAGATCGTGGGTTTGAGTCCCAACTAGGTGGATTTATTTCAATTGACCTAATCCTTCCAGCCGCACTGTGGCTCTGGGGTTGACTTGGCCTCTAACAGAAATGAGTATCAGGAATCTTCCTGGGGTTAAGGGCAGCTGGCGCGTAAGGCTGACAACCTCACCAGCATCTGTCAGCCAAGTGTCTAGAAAATGTGAGAACCTCGACATCTCACAACTCTATGGGCCTTCATGGCCTGTTACAGGGAGACCTTTACCTTTATTGGTGACAGGTAAGAACATAAATTTTTCACAAACATTTGCAATCATTCTGGAAGAAATACTGTGGTCTAATGGTCCCCCCCCCTCTCTCACTCGCTCACTGACTCACTCACACACTCTCTTCATAGCCAACTGCAAGTAACTTTAGAAGTTCCCACATTACCACTGCCAACCTTAAAAATTTGTTTAAAAAAAAGCCTGACATTTTCAGAATGGATCCAGAGGTCTAACCCTAAAGTGGGCCCACTGTTGGAGGCGAATTCTGAGGTTAGACTTTGGGATTTACAAATGAACTTGTAAGGCTGGCAGTGCTGACATGACAGTTACTTGTGTCACACGCTAATATGTAAGTACCAAAGAGAACAAAAAGAATAAGAGCTGAAAAGTCAGGAGAAGGGGGTGAAGAAGAGATCTCGGGTTTGTCTGTCTGTGTGCACAACTACAACCAGTTTTGACGTCAATCCATGGGTTACATGCTTCCATCACCAGTTAAGCTTCCTGTCATTAAAATATAACGTACCTTTAAAGTGAGGCCATGCCAGTGAAATCTGATCATTGTTTTTCAGTATTCTCCTATTGCCTTTTCCAATTTTTTCACTGTTCACATATGTCCCATTGGAACTGTAATCTTCCAAGTAGACTTCTGGTGTAACTTTTATAATTTTACAGTGTCTCTTGCTAATGGTTTGCAGTACATCCTCTTTGACTTCTAAATATGAGATTGTAATATTACAGTCCTGAGCACGACCAATTGTATACTCATCATCAGATAGATCTATAACAAATTACAATGATATCAGGATCCTGAACTCCAGACTGCATCTTGAGATGATTCAATTCAATTCTGTACAACCCAGATAACGGCTGTATTAGGTAGAGTACCCATGAAGCAAACCTATGTCACGAGTTTGCCCAAGATGACATCCAGACCATCTGACTCTGCTGCCAGGAGCATTAGCTCTCTATGGGAAAGTTTTACAGATGTCAATTCATGTTATTTGTACTAAAAGAATTTGTTTGGAATTTGTTGGATCTGAGTTTCTCACAGCAGTCACTGCTATTGTGAAGCTCAACATTGCGTGACGCCAACACGTTTCAATTCATCTGTATTACACATCCTTCAAATAGGCCGAGCCCTGACAGACCAGCTGTTAATCCTACAATCTATGAAATCTACTATGTACTATGTGTACTATGGTCTGATAAAACTATACAAGCCCTCCCTCAAAATTATTTATCTCATCTTAACAATATACTATTTAAAGTAACAATGAAAGAATATCTGTTGACTCTCACTTTCTATTCTGCTGATGAATTTATTTATGTACAAATTTTTACGTTTATGGAGTCTACATATAAATGCACATAACCTACATGTCTCTTACATTCTTATACATGGGTAGTGAACTGTTCATTGTTATTTTAGGGGTGTAGTGAGACCAAGTCCCTTAATTCTTTCACCTCAAATAGGCTTGTGTTATGGACTTTATGTGTACAGTCATTTACTTCTGCATAGTAATTTGATAACATATTTTGAGAGTGATAAAGTCTTGGATATTTCTAGATACATTACACATATACTTGTTAACTAATTACTAATATGTAATGTAATTTTGTTTCTCATTAGGTCTAATGTGGTCGATTTTGTTCTTGGGATATTTCTGTTACTGTACTTTACTTAATTCATATTTTCTGAATGCTAAATATTTTACTTCATCTTGTTCCACCACCTACTTACCAGAATCTGCTGTTCTTCTACGGTGTATCAAATGAGTATTGAAGTTCTGAAGGTGAGAATATGCAAATATGAATTACGTAATACCAAAGTAAGAACAGACGCAATTATTACATATAACACAACAATCTCGTGTTAAGCTGGTAGGGGCCTCTGTTAATTGTAACTTAAGCAAAAATTCACGTAATGTTAAACTTCAACAACAGCAACAACAACGCACCTCAATGCAAGTATTACTTACCTAAGGATGGGAATTTTTTTTTCGTCGCATACAGTCTTCCCCACACATTTGCATTTTCGTACTCCTGGCTAAATATCTCTTCTCTTGCGTTCTGAGTATCTGGCAAACTCTGACTCCACATCATAATATAGTGTATTAATGTAAACAACAACGCGCTGACTTAACCGCACACCAGGCTCTTATCGCTCTTATCGTATAAACCAACGCTTCTTTCCTTCCGCAACCAACACCACCAACTACCGGTATGTAAGCATATCCACGTGCTATTGGTACGAATCGACTAATCGCAGTTGAATATATCGATTATTTTAATTATCGACCAATTCGACTGCTGTTGGAAAGAAGTTGAATATTCAGTCGGACGGTTAATTTCTGCCACTTTAGTGGTATAGGTAATTGGCTTGCTTCCGACGTGCTTACCTTCTGGACGGCTTGTAGTTTATATAACTAATTTTTGTTGATGCATTTGTCTACCTCCTTTCTCTGTCAATTCAAGGGCTGAGTCATGACCCATTCCGAAACTGATGGAATGGTTTTCGGAGTAGGTCTGAAGTTTGGGATGGAGAAGAAAATCGAGATGAATGTAAGCTGTGTAAAGAAAAAAAGAACTCGAGTGATCAAATAACATTTCCAGTTTACGAGGACAGTGTGTAAAAATATAATTTCCAGAATATCTTATATATGAGCCCGCAGCACCAAAAAGTGCAATTTACAATGTCATGAATATGTTTATGTGACCTTCGCCTAGTTTTACAATATTTTGTAGTAACGAAGGAGAAAAATATAACTCAGTGAGTGTAGCAGTAGATTCGAAAAAACGGTTTACAAGAAATGCTTCGTCGTTTTTCATATCAGTTTCACATCTTCCGGCTAAATGTAACGAACTACACAGTCGATAATCGCTGGTACCCCAACATGCTTTGAAGGTTGTCACGATTGGTGCTGACACCTGTAGACACGAACTAATATAACACTATGTAAGATTTGAGGCTTTCACGGCGGTGACTATGAAGAAAACTGCTTTCTTCTTAATATAACACTCTTCTCTATGACTTATTTGGCCCCAAACTTAAAAAAGTTGAAGTTCTATATGCTCTACTATTTCGGTCACTGCATTAAAATATTTCATTGTAAATTCTCAGATTCCTACCCAATTTGATTTGAAAGATGAAGAGCATATTTTCTTTAGTCATTATCCACATTTCGATTCTAAAGGGTTCTGACGATGGTGTATGACACACAGAATTACTGGAGTTTGGGACTTTTTCAATCGTCCGGAATTTTAAGTAATAGAGGACACGACGTTTCGGAAACTGGATCTGTTTCAGTCAGATTAGCTCTTTCTAGGGGGCCCAATTGAGTAGATGTCTTCCTTTCTTACCTGAAAAAGGAACTATTTTCAGTTGTGAGTGAATCTGTGGACTGTTACGACCACTCATTCAAAACATCGCCATGACGACGGAAAGAATAGAAAGATTGTTGCGACGTGACGATCGCAAACTTCGGAACTGAGTCATCGTGGGTCAGCAAAACAACGGATTTTCGGGTTTTGGTACGTACGAACCTGTTTTTCCTCGGTGTATGGCAGGCCACGAAAGGCAAACAGTCTTCCGTTTATTCTGGATGGAGATATCTGAAGTACTGTATTACGAGTTAGTTTAGACGGATAAAGTTTTGAAAAATTTGTTTTCAAGAAGCATGCCGAATATGTCCGTTCAGTAAAGTAGTGTCCGAGAGCTGTAATCTGAAATATGATAATCCATGTGGACGTTTAATGCACTTATTACGACGGCGGGACTGAAATTAAATGGGACACATCAGCTTTTGGTCTATGCCGATGATGTGAATCTACTGGGTGATAATGTACGTGTAGATACCATAAAGACAAGCACACAAACTTTAATTGACGCTAGTAGGGAGGTTGGTCCAGAAGTAAACCCAGAGAAAACTAACTATATGTTGCGGTCTCGTCACCAAAATGCAGGGCAAAATCATGACATAAAGATAGGAAACAGATGTTTTGAAAGTGTGGCACAGTTCAGATATTTGGGAACAACGATAACAGATCGAAACCTGATTCAGGAGGAAATTAAGAGGCGATTGAACTCGGGTAATGCTTGCTACCATTCAGTCCAGACCCTTTTGTCTTCTCGTCTGCTGTCCAAAAACATAAAAATTAGAATATACAAAACTATAATTTTGCCTGTGGTTCTGTATGGGTGTGAAACTTGGTCTCTGACATTAAGGGAGGAACATAGACTGAGAGTGCTTGAGAACATGGTGTTGAGGAGAATATTTGGACCGAAGAGAGATGAAGTGACAGGAGGCTGGAGAAAACTGCATAATGAGGAGCTTCATAACTTGTACTCTTCTCCAAGTATAATTAGAATGATCAAGTCAAGGAGGATGAGGTGGGCAGGTCATGTAGCACGAATGGGGGAGACGAGGAATGCGTATAGGATATTGGTGGGAAAGCCAGAAGGAAAGAGACCACAGGAAAGACCAAGGCGTAGGTGGTTGGACAGTATTAGAATGGATCTTAGAGAGATAGGATGGGATGGTATGGATTGGATTGATCTGGCTCAGGGTAGGGACCAGTGGAGGGCTCTTGTGAACATGGTGATGAACATTCGGGTTCCATACAACTCTGGGATGTCCTTGAGTAGTTGCACAATTGTCGGCTTCTCAAGAATGGTTCGACTCCATGAGTCAGTGACTATGACGGTAACATATATGGTTTCATCAAGGTCATAAGACATAAGATAATAAATTCTATCCTTTTATGTCATCTGTTAACTTCAAGTACGTTCAGTACATATTTCGCTTGCGGACTAAAACTACGGAGTTTGTTCTGTCAGTAACAAAGTCATATGTTTGGCTGAGAAGTTATTGTGCTGCCCTTAAACATGTCTCTAGTACTAGGAAACAAATAGACAACTGTATTAGATATAACTTCAGTTCCCATTTGGTAGTGTCGTCAGTCTCGAGGTCTACGAAATGTACACTTGCGTAAGACGTAACCTCTTTATGAAGACTGTCAAGAAATTATTCGCTCATGCTTCGTTGCTGTATTGATCATATTTATGTAACGTATACACACATACACACAGTCTCGCCCCCTCTCTGACTCATTCTATCCCACAACATTTCGTAATTAGTGAGACAGATCTTACACGCTGTTTTAGATTGTGAATTATGTTACCGTCTGAACATACAAGAATTGAGCTATCATTTATTATAATAAACATCTAAACTTTAGTCTTTGTACTAGAGCTATAACATTTTATTCCGAATTGTATTCGTAATTTTAAAGAAAAAGGTGGCTCTCACTTAATTAGACATAAGTGAGATGAGGCCAGTTTTTCACTTAGTGCTCATCCTTCCAGCCGCACTATGGCCCTGGGGTCGACTCAGCCTCTAACAGAAATGAGTACCGGGAAACTTCCTGGGGGGGGTAAAGGGCGGCTGGCGCATAAGGCTAACAACCTCGCCGCCATCTGTGAGCCGATTGTCTAGGAAATGTCTCACAACCTTATGGGCCTCCACTGCCTGTTACAGGGATAGCTTTATCTTTTCATCTTTTCATTAAAGTTAGTGAAAAAAGTTCTACCCTGACGATGGAGGCAGTATGTTCCTCCAAAATAATGCCACCAACTTACGAGACAACAGATTGTGACGAATCTTCGGCACCATGAAAACCTCAAATCTCATCTCTTAATATGTGAGAGTCTGAAACATCAACCCGGCATTTGTCTAGAGGGACTGAGGAAGACTACGAAAACCGGGTAGCGTATTCTGGGCCGAGATTTGAACCCAAGGTCTCAAGAATATAAAGAACTCATTCTATCTCAAAGATGTTTCCCAGGAAATGATCGGGGACCCTGCATGGCCAGTGTGAAGCCAATTATTTCATTAGGCTCTCATGTGTCGTGTGAGTCTGGATTTGTTTCTTCGTATGAGACACGAGGGGTTCATGGAAATTCAGATTGTGTTCCTGTGGGTTATGATAGCGTGTAGTCTGGCAAGTGACTACGGGATATTCCGGAAAAAAAAAAGACATACTTCGTCTCCATGACAGATGTCAGTTGAGACTAGTTACGTAGATGGAACAATTTCCAGCCTGCAATTAACAAGTACATTATCATTAGGCAAAGGTTGGAGTGGGTGTACACGTCGGTTGGATTAAAATCGCCTGCGCACTGGCCTGCCCTTCATTGGTGCAGCCTCCCTCCCACTACAGGGCCGGCTGGTGGGCTTTTTGACTGGATTAGATGGGGCAGAGCGACACGAGTTTCACACTGCTGCTCACATTGTGGCGAGTGCACGAGGCCACTGCGCGGATCGAGACATGCTGCTGGATCATCTCTTGTTCCCACTGCAGGCAGCTCCACTGTTAGTCGCAAGGTAACAACACATAACCCGATTTTTCTCTTGTACACATCGTCAGGACCGGCTTTGGGGCCCCTCCCATGGGTATCCCGAGGTTAAAGTGGCTGGAGCTTGAACTCACCACTCACATCCGTCTGATACATGGAGCTAAACCTCCATGACGTGGTTCTTAATTAAGTGCAGGGACATTTCAATAATGTTTTTTTTTTTTGTTTTTCTTTATATATTTATGTTTTATTTAGCAAAAGAGCCGGGATAGCGTAGTCGGTATAGCCACTGGTAACGGGCTGGACGACCGAGGGGTCGGAGTTCGAGCCCCGGTAAAGTCAAGAATTTTCTCTTCTCCGCGTTGTCCAGACCGGGTCTGGGGTCCACCCAACCTCATATCCAATGGGTACCGAGGGCTCTTTCACCCGGGGGTAAAGAGGCCGGGGCGTGGAGCTGACCACTCACCTCCAGCTAGTGCTGAGGTCAAGAAAATGTGGACCTATACATCCACTCCCCCATACGCCTTCATGGCGCAGCGCTTAATTAGTTAAGCACAGGGACAATTTTACCTTTATTTAGCAACGTTGTCCGTGGCCCACGCTGGCCAGTGCCGGTTTATTGTGTGACTAGTGAATAGTGAACCTGAAAGGCTTTGGAAGGACGAAGTCGTGGCGCAGTTTGAAGTGTTTTACCGGAGATTGCAGAAGTGACTGAGGAAAGTCACAGAAATCTTTAGAATAGTCTCTGTACTGACCGAGATTCNGTAGTAGTAGTAGTAGTAGTAGTAGTAGTAGTAGTAGTAGTAGTAGTAGTAGTAGTAGTAGTAGTAGTAGTAGTAGTTGTGTGAATATATTATGAAAATGAAATGTCACATGTTATCAAATAATTGTGTTGCCCGCTACTCAGACAGTTCAGAGCTAATTCGCGTTACAGCCAAACATATCCTGTGCGAATGTAAGGCCTTAGCTTATTTAAGACTGCACCAATTGGGTCAATATTTTATGGAACCAAGTGACTATTTCGACGTCCCCACGTACAAAATCCTGTGCTTCATTCGAAGGGCAGGATTGCTGAGGGGCTAATCAGAAGGGGAGGCACAATAGATCACTGTGGTCGCGGTGCAAGGGCCAAGAAGGCCCACCCCTTATATATTCATTCATTCAACCCGCCTTACAAACCAAAATGTAGGCATGGGACCCGGCTGGGGGGACCAGTAAATTGTCTTACACTGCTGCTTGAGACCAGTTCTACCCATGGCCCTGCGGTATTCATGAAATCAGAATAAGCGTATATTAAGAAAAAATATTCTAATATCTGGTATTAGTAACCTACTTTCCTATTTCGATTTTGTTTACAAAATTCCAAGGTGGAGGGGTTCCCCCCTCCCCCACGGGATCTCACAAATGTTTACCTGTTTCTTTAAGACGTGACGTGGCCCAAGATTGGTAAATAAGTATCCTATATGCAGTCAACATGGACCCGAGTCCTTCTTGAGAAGCCAGCAGTTGCTCAGCCATTTAAGAAATTGCCAGCATTTTTTTGAACTCGAAGTTTCGTTATCATGTTCACCAGAGCCCACCACTTTTCTCCGTCGTAAGCCAGATGAATCCAATCCACACTCCCATCTTAATTCTCTAAGGTCTATTTTAATATTATTCTCCTCTCTACGTCTAGGTGCGAAAATGCAGCAATAGGTGAAAACTGTACAAATGATTTGTACTCTTCATCAGAAAGAATTTGGATGGGCAAATTAAGGCGGACGAGACAAGCGGGCATGAAACACACTGGTAGATAGAAGAAATCTATACAAAATGTTGGTCTGAAAGGGAAGAGGCCTCTAGGAATATCTAGGCATAGATGGGAGCGTAATATTAAAACGAAGCTTAAGGAAATATAATACGAAATTTTACTGGGTTAATCTCGCTCAACATGGAGACCCGTGTCAACACGGTAATGAACATTCGGGTTCCATAAATGGAAGGAACTTTCCTCGGTAGCTACTGGACTGTACTCCGTGGAGTCAGTCAGTGGCCAAACATCTGTGTCTATATAAACTGTACATATATTCTGAGCCAGTTGCATCCACTTCACACGGACACACAACATTCCCTTCATTCGTCACTTCAGGGTACTAACTTCTGTATTAATCCCCCCCTCCAGTGCGTGCTACATGTACAGCCGAGTTCATCCTACTTGATTTTATTGCCCCAGTAACGTTTGACGAAGAAGCCCGTCGCTGTGCAGTTTTCTCCTTCAGCTTGGTTCAGAAAACAACGGAACGCAACTCTCGTTAAGTCTTGATTACTTTGACGTGCTCGATAGCCTTGTTGATGCAGCTTGCATTTCTGTTAGTTGGTAGACCAGGTTGAGAGCGTTAAGAGACCTGGTCATGCAGGTTACAAGCCCATACAGGGAAGTGAGTGGCAAAGTGAAATGCATTACGTAAGTTGACTGCAATGAAGGCTCCTACCGCCTTGTCTCTCCGCCGCTACGTCAAGTGGCCCGTCCGAGGAGAGTCGTCCACTTCTCCGCTTAAACGTGTGGCACTGTGCCCACTTTGTGTCTTTTCCAGGGTCATACATTGAAGGGTTGTCAACCCTCTATAGAGCCAATTAAATTTCGTGAAAAGAGAGAGCATAAGTAAGGTTTGCCTGCTTGTGGTCCGCGAGTCTCTCTACCCGCCAGGTATGGACTACCGACGGTATAGAGTCACTTGAATTCAGAACAGCCAGATTCCCTGTACAGCTGTGTCCGTTCGGCACGTGCTACATTCCTGAACGTCATGCTTCCGTTGCTAGTTCGGTGCGGGAGAAATGCAGAACAAATCTGACAGAAATCACACACGTTCTGAAAATAAACTAAGGAATAGGGGTTGTTAATTACGCTTAATGTTTCTAAGTTGCGTTTAGAATTTAATTCTTTAAACAACGGTGGTAAATACATGTACCGCCAGCTCTAACATGTTAAAACTACGCATTCTTCCCACACAGTGTATTTATGTGTACCGTATGGTTCTCACAGTAAACAGCGACTATTTCCCTAAACAGCATTAACCGGTTGGGCTCTGTAGCGGAGACGTAATGTGTTTCCTGTGAGATACGCACTGAACTCTGCATTCTGCCCACACAGTGTATTTGTGTGTTCCATATGGTTCTCACAATAAACAGCTACTATTTCCCTAAAGAGCATTAACCGGTTGGACTTTGTAGCGGAGGCGTAATGTGGTTCCTGTGAGGTACGGACTGACCTCTGCATTCTGCCTACAGTGTATTTATATGTTCCGTATGATAATCACAATAAACAGCGATTATTTCCCTAAACAGCATTAACCGGTTGGGCTTTGTAGCGGGGACGTAGTTTGTTTCCTGTGAGGTACGGACTGAATTTAGAAATGTTATTAATATGAACTTCAGGCTCTAAACTGCGGTTGTTTCGGCCGGCTATGTGTCGCTGCAGAACAAATGCGCCGTTACACGTCCACAAACTCATTTCCGCCTTTGAAACGGATGAGGGAGGGCCCTATTGTAATGCTGTGCCGTCAGACGCACAAACGGAAATGCCATGGCATCTCATTGTTAGGCCCTAGTTTCTCAGTGGCAATTTTATCAGATATAGATGCGTTTTTCTAAGCCATCACAAGGTCTACAGTTATGAAAGTTGGCATACGTGCAGTAAATTCCATCTGTTCTTTTTACTTTATAGTGGTTTGCCTTGAATAAACTTATTGTTAACAACTTTCATATAATTTTACCGAGCTAGGCGGCATACCAGTAATGTTCTACACTCGTATTTTATGTTCATAGAGTTTTGCTGTAAATCTTACGGTTTCGCGACAATTGAACGAAAGTTAGAAAACGCGCCCGTAACCGCTGGGCTAGGAAAACGTTTCCATCAACGGGATCTGGGCTTCCGAACCCCCGCCAAGATGGTTAGAGTCTCTTTTGTTATTTGTAATTTGGATTAGGTCAGCTCTGATTAGTTTGTGCTGCGCCAAAACTGAAGTATACGTTTCAATTACTCAACAGTTGTCTTGTGTTTTAGATTAACCCTTTAAAGTTAGAGTCAGTTTACGACGGGCGCTTTACCGCCAATAAATTCGTCTTGGTGACAAGTCAATTGAGACCCACGACCCGTAAGATTATCTTCCAACTCAACACTTGTGATTATAGTCGTAATGTTACATCTTAACAATAAGAATTCTGTTGTAATTCAAGAACTAGGACTAGTATCATTGTACGCATGACGATGGTCCAATATAAGGGCCGAAACATGTATCGTCAACAACAAAATAAAACAAATGTGGAAACAGTAGTGTCTATTTTGTTTTTCATGAATAGTGTTGTGTAGACTGCCCCATTATACACGTATATCCTTATGTCACATTCTCTCTCACGAGAGGATGTGTCTGTCGTTTACAGTTGCTGCTGGTACTCGCCAACGCATTCATTCTCATGTCTGAGTCCAGCGGGACTCATGACCACATTTTACTCTCTCAGATTCGAGACTCCCCAAACCTGGAGTGCCAGGTACCCGTCATTATATCCCCCAGGAACAGGGTGGCCCAATTATACCCATAGGCACTGAGTTCCCGTTTCGCCGCCTCCTACCACTCGCAGGGATATGGTGGAGGTGTTCGAATCCGCCTCCTCGCGGGGGTCAGGAGCCTGAACATCTAAATCATATGATAAGGCTTAAGTTCCAACCTCACAGGAAACACATTACGTCTCCGCTACAGAGCCCAACCGGTTAATGCTGTTTAGGAAAACAATCGCTGTTTATTGTGAGAACCATACGGAACACATAAATACACTTTGTTGGTATAACACAGAATTTTATTATGTTGAAGTGGTTGGTATGTATAGTGACCATTTGGTTCTAAAAGGTTAAAATGATTTACAAATTTTAAAACTTAGTGGCAGCAACATGATGATCACACCAAACTCTTTGCACATCCCCTGAGTAGTCGTTTTTCCTGCTTCACGGGATGGTATTGTGGTTGGATTCCTCATCCAGATCGTTATCACATT